CGGGATGTGATCAACGAATACAACACCAGCTCTCAGGCGCTTCTCAAAGCCCAGGGAGTCTATAAAACACACATAAATACAGGTAAAACCCAATATATAATGAACAAAAGTGCATTTAAACCCATAATAGGTTACGGAATGACAGAATACGTTCCGATCACACATTTTATAAGCGCCGAGCGCTGGGACTTTACGCCCGGATCTATGGGTCAGCCCTCGCGTAATACCGAGATTAAAGTCGTAGACACAAACACCGGACACAGTCTACCCGTCAATACAGAGGGACTGATATGCGTGAGAGGACCCAAACTCTTCACCGAATATCTCAACATCGGTTCCACCTATGATATAGACTCCGAGGGTTGGCTCCGGACGGGAGATATCGGACACTACGATGAGAGGCACCGGTTGTTCATCACAGACCGGATCAAAGAGATGATCAAATGGACGACATATCCGGTCTCTCCCACAGAGTTGGAGCTCTTCCTACAGACACAGCCATCGGTGGCCGAAGTGGCCGTCATTGGTGTCAGTCATCGCACTGAGACTCAGTGGCCCCGGGCTTATGTGGTCCGGAGGCCCGGCTATACCACCACCGGTCAAGAGCTGTGCCAATATGTGTCCGGTATGTGTTTTACTGATTTTGTTCATTATATATTGGGTTTTACCTGTATTTATGTGTGTTTTATAGACTCCCTGGGCTTTGAGAAGCGCCTGAGAGCTGGTGTTGTATTCGTTGATCACATCCCGAGAACTAACATCTCAAAAGTGGACCGAAAATACTTCAAACAATTGGTGGCCAACGAGTTGTTGGACTAAAACAAGTTTTAACGTTATTATTAATAAATGAAATAGTCTTTACAATGAATTTTCAAATAGTTTTTTATTTTGTTTAAATTAAATTATTATGATTATCACTAAATAGTTAGAGTATTTTTATTTGCAAGTTTTAATTTAAGTATAGTTTTAATTTTAATTATAGTTGATTTAACAAAATTTAATACTAGTTTTGTTACAAATGCAAACTCGTATTACAATAAGTTTATTGTTTTTATTTAATTATAAATTAAAAGTAATTTTATAATTTAATTAAATTGTTATCAAAATAACACTATTTATAAGATAATTATAAAATGATTACAATTGCAGATATCTATGTAATGCAGATAATTATGTTTATAAATATATAATTGTAGATACAATTTGTTTGTAATTACAAGGAATGCCACAAAACTTGTGTTCATTTGAATTATATGTGATTTAAATGTAATGAAGAAAATTCTGGCGAAATACTGATTAAATGTTTACTTCATTAAAAAAAATTTATACAAAAACCCATTGGTTTTCAATGGATTCGCTGTCATCCGAGTCTATAAGTGTTGTCAACGATTTATCCTTTTCTCTCAAAAATACATTTAATAAATTGTTTGTTATTTTGTTTTGAACTTTGAATTGATCCCAGATTTCAGTGAATATATCCTGAATATTGATCTCATCTCTGGTTTTGTCTGAATTAATGGTCAATTGATTGTGGGATCCGATCGATGAACAACTGGGAGACAAATCACTCAATGAACCCCTGTTTACATATAAAATTAGAAATTATTATTTATTTTACAAATAATTGCATTTAAATTTTAACCTTATATTCTGTGCATTGATTTCTTGAGCCAATAGTTTGACATCGGATTCAATGGTATGTTTCGATGCCTTCAATGCCGACAACTCATCACTCAATTCACTATTTTTTGCCGACATTTCACACAATTTTTGCTTCAAATCTGTAATCACTTCTTGATTACTAAGAATAATATAAATAATTACAAAACACAAACTACATATATACTTACTGTATAAGTAAAATTATAAAATTATATCAAACCTCATCTCATAAGTTAACAATTTTTGTTTTAAATTATTGTTTCCTTCAATCCATGTCTCCATTGAATCCACGGCTGACTTGAGTTGTGCTTTCAATGCCTTCACTTCGGACTCATTGCTTGCCTTCAGAGCCGACATCTCTTCACACAATTCACGACACTTTCGGTCCGACTCTTCACTCAGACTATAGTTTTGAACAAACATT